GGCTAAACTGGCATTGGGCTGGTTAAAGGACCAAATCAAAAACAGAGGTTCCGGCACATAAAGCACTCAGAGCAGAATATCTGACTTCAGCATTGTTTTTTAAATAAACAAGAATGTTCACTTAGCATGTTTCTTAGAATTCCGCAAACATATAATAGTATTTTTATGCTTTAGCAGAGTCAAAAACTTACAACACCTTTAATATTAAAATATATTGGGACATGGCTGTGAAAATTGGACAGGTCATTCATACAAAAATAGATTTGATAATCCAAAAACCCAAGCAATTTCAGAGATTAACTGCATTAATACAATGAAATATTTTCAAGCATTTATTTTAATGTGTGCCAATGAATAGTGCAAATTAAAAGAATGTGGCGCAATTAGATCATGTTTACTTCCAAGCCTTTTGTTCAATTTCTTCTTAAGTGGATCATTACTGAGCCTAGTGTCACACAACACAGGAGGCAGTGCTGCACGACTGCGTAACGAGAGCAAGGTGGCCCTCCAGCAATCTGGAGAAAGACGACACTTTTTGTTTACCATTTCAGATGCGTGAAAAAGTGCGGCGAGACTCCCACTCAAACAACATTTTACAAGCTCAGCTTTCGCTTGAACTTACTGGGTGACAACAGCTGGGTTGTGCAACTCCCAAGTATGCCAAATTCAGTGTTTTTAATGTGCATGAGAGATTCAGATAATAATGATAATCGTGTTAGTGCCAGCAGCAGTTTACAAGAACACACAGGACGCTGCTTTTTCCAAGTATTCAAAATAAATAGTTAATTTACGCCAAAGCTTGTGTTATGATCAGTAAAATCATTTAAATGTGAAAAAGCAAAACAAGATTTACACATGACACAAATACCATTTGGTGCCAGAGAAATTCCATTAGTTGGCTAAATCAGCAAGGCTGGGCAGTTTGTTCAGATTAATTAGTGAAGGAACTCATTTCTATATGAACTGCATAAGAAATAAACTCATTTGAAATCAAACTTTCCCCCGAATTTGCGGTTTTCATCACACATCTGAAAGGAAAACACTCCCGCAGTGCATGGTGCCAGTGATTAAAGAAGCCGTAAAAGCCAAAACTGACATACTGAGCCAGGAAATCTACAGTGACAGCTCACAAAACAGGATTTGAACAAATACACTATGGAAAAACACAAATAAAGCATGCAGAGCTCAACAATGAAGACCAATTAAACAAAATGACTTTTGCTGCTTGTACTACTGTAGAAAAACGTCATAAGATTAATGCTTGGTGGCTCAATGTATTACAACAGTGTTTATAAAAGACTAAACACTTTATTGATATAGTGTACAACCAAGCAGATGTGGTCAGAACACAAACAAGTCGCAAGTAATGAAGTATTAAGCCATTATCCCAAAGAAAAGACCGGTCTAAGCAAAATGCTAGCAGGCATCTGTAGCTCCGCTTACACTCCGCCTCTTTGCCCTTGTTTGGTATGCCCCAGTAAGTGCGATGATGTGCGAACAAAATTTAATGCATGGCTCGTCACTTTAGAAGGAGGCGTGAATTAATTTAGCTAAACTGCGACATGGTCATCTTGCGGAAATATTACCAACGATCCATCAGGTAATGTTTTCCCCTCTCTCTCTCTCTCTCTCTCTCTCTCTCTCTGTTGGTAAAGCGCTGTCAACAAATATTTTTCCTCCATATCCCATAATGCACAGCGCATCGGCCTACGGCTGCTGAATTAGTCCAAAAAGCGTAGTACTTTTTGCGGTTGGACCTGTTTTAGTACGGATCATTTTCTCACCACAAACGAACCGCTCCAGGGTTCGTTTGAAAGCGTACCGAGACCACCTCTTCAAGCAGGTCTTAGTGCAATTATTTGGTCCGCTTATGGTGCGCACTCGAGTACGATTGCTGCATTCTCACCTGCCCAAACGAACCGCACCAAAAGGGGAAACGAACTATAGTGCGATTCAATCGAACTAAATAAGGCAGGTGTGAAAGCACCCTTAATCATTATTAAAAAATTGTGGCTAAGAAATAACAGTTATTTATTTTTGGTGTGTTGAGATATAAATTTGGTTAATTCTTAATTTCGAGCCCTGACAAGACACGTAAAATAAAAACTAATTGCAATGTGACACAACCCATGCAAATTTGCTCATGCACATTAAGCAACCTCATACACAACACAGACAAAACGTGAAATGAATGAAGAGGCATGTAGACTAAAATCTAAATCCAATAATTTTAGCATTCCAAAGCCAAATTTATGCACTTAAAATATATTTTCCCAACAACAAAATTGTGGCTAGTGAAAATGGCAAGTGGCTAGTAATGTTGCAAAACAACTAGCCACAGTGGCTGGTAATCAAAAAAGTTAATGTCAAGCCCTGATTTCATAGTATTACAAATTTTACGCAGGTTGTTGATCACAACAACATTTTAGCCAGAGAGCCATTGAGAATAGAGGGAAAAATGCTTATAGTTGAGCCTGAATGTGTCATGGTTATATAACGTATGACTACAACAAAATAAAAATGTGACATATCAAACAGCTGAGGAAACTAAATAAAAGCCAAATCCGAGCTTCCATCGGCTTCAGAGATCTAACAGCAAAGCATCAACAACACAGACAAAAAGCCCAGTGTGATTTTAACACATTCCCTTTGTCTCCTGCAAACCACAACAACAGCACCTGGTAAAAGCGAAGGAGTAATTCCCATCCCCAGCTACATGGGAGGGAGAAACTGAAGGTTTCGATAGATGCAGCTGTCCTGTGTTCGGTTAGCAAGAACAGCTCGGGGCTGCGCAGAACCTCTGCAGAACTTTCCGGGTTATAAATCAGATCTGAGGTCAACAACACTCCAGCAGAAAAGCACACACCTCTCTCCCCGAAAATAACCGCATGCTTGAGGAGATATCAGGTAAACAATCGAGGATACAAGGAGTCAAATGTTTAAGAAGGAAAAAAGAGAAATACAATAGGGTCATAATATTGATCCGCAGGTAAAATGAATCTCAGATTCTCTACAGTAATGCTGATGCTTGCATATATCCAGAAGCGTCGCTGCAACACTCTAAATGCATCAATTAGAACAGAGAGATTTCATTATTTATTTCGCTGCCATTAGTTCTGGCATCGAAAAGAATCGTTTCATAATTGGTTATATCATGCCTGCAGGCTCAGCTCTCATTGGAACAGCATGCCATCGGAGGGGACTATGGGCACACACACATACATACAATATAAATAAATAAAATAAAAGAGCAAAAATGCCTCCAGGAGAAGGGCAGCTGCGATTAGGTTTAAAGCAAACACACAGAGTCAATCTAGGAAAGGTGTGAGAGCTTCTTCGTAAGTTTGACTTCCTTTAACACACCACAAGAATTCATGCGCATATTTTGGTTACTGTATAATCAACTGACACGTTTCACAACACTTGACGGTGCTGCTGTCTGAGAGATTTAAACTCAGGTTTTAAAGTGATAGTTCAACCATTAATGTAAATTGTGATTATTTAGTGACTATTTTCTTACTACTGTTGAACAAAAGTGAATATATCGTAAAGAAAGGTGGAAATTTATATCTATTGGCATGCTTTTTTCTACTATAGAAGTCAATGGGTACAGGTTTCCAGCTTACCTTAAAATACAGTGCTCAGCATATATAAGATCACCCCTCACAAATCTATCTTTTAAATTCATATTTTAATAGAAAGCTACAAACTTATATTTGTGCATATCCATTCGATCAGAATCTGAAACCAAATCTGGAGATAAATAACTTATGATAAAAGTCCAAAAACCAGTACACCCATGTTTCTATGTTATAGAAACATATTAAATACAAATTTAAAAATGAAGAATAATCAAGAGAAGCAAAATATTAGAAGAATGTAATTGAATTAGGTTGTAATCTATTTTTGCAATATTTTGCTTGAATTTAACAGTATTATCTTTCAATTTCTAGATATGATTGAAGACTAAAATATCATTTTATTAAATATACAGTTTAATAAAATCTGTTTTGTTTAAATGCACCAAAATACATTGCCTATATTCACTGAGAAATTGATAAAAAAAAATGGCTGAGCACTGTATCTTCATTTATGCTCATCAGAAGAAAGTAAATCAAACTGTTTTGGAACAAGTGGAGTTGTAAATAATGATGGAATTTTCATTTTGGGGTGAACTATCCCTTGAACAAGTCTTTTTTTACACCTAAAGCTTGTCATGCAAAAGGAAGATTACATAAATCACCTAAAATCAATTGTTGATGAATATGTATAATGATAGTCTGACCGATACAATATTTTTCTTAAATTTATTTTTTCTGTCCATTTTACTTACCTAAACTACAAAAACCATATCATGCTACAAATATAAAGTCATGAAAGAGGCGTTAGGGAAAAGTGTGTGATGGTTTCTAGTTTAAGAACACAACTATAATCTATACCTAATCCATAATTATATCTATATATATATATCTACCTATAGATAGATAGATAGATAGATAGATAGATAGATAGATAGATAGATAGATAGATAGATAGATAGATAGATAGATAGAATTCTAAATATTCCAACAACATAATAGATTACATTAAGTTTACAATAATAATAAAGAAAACAAACCTACAGTAATAAATAAACGTTTACATATTGTCTATGGATGAACTCAGACACATTATCTAAGAGAATTAACAGTAACTTGATGTCGATTGAGGTTTAGCTTCCCAATACAGATATAAATAGTAAAGTGAAAATATAAAGGCAGAATGACAGTTATTTAATATTTTACATCAAAATATTTTAGTTTCTGTTTTGTCAACCGGTCTTAATAGCCATAACATGGGACGTGAGCACTTTAAATTATGTTTATTGGACTAATGATTTTAAATAGACATTATTTAAGAACCAGGAATTTTAAATAAAAACACATTAAGGAAGAGAATCGCGTGTGTAAACAAAATAGCCCAAGCTTGAAACCGAGGGTGAAATATCAGTGCGCACATACCTCAATGTATCCGGCTAGACTCGGAACAGCGATCGCCAGAATAAGCACAGATACGGCGGGGACTGAACCCATCTTCCACGGTCACTCTCTGCTGGGATTTGTGCTGAAAATATCCCGCTGTGGACTGATTTTCGAGGCTATGAAACGGAGAAGAGCTCAGTAAACGGTCCTCGGGCGGTTGTAGTGTGCGTCTCTCTTTGCTTGTGTTTTCCTCACTGTGCGTTGATCCAGCTTTCAGCGCGCGTGGAATGTTGCGCGTGTCCGACAAACTGCCGCTGCACGGGATCGAGCGCTAAAACATGAACAAGCGCGCCACCGGCCGACTGAACAAGGGACCGACCGGAAATGAGGTCATTAATCTGTCGCTGCTGCTTTTTTCGTTGGGTGTGAGTCTGTTACGAAATGGGTAGATAATTGGCGTCAACATGTTTCCATCATCAAGACTTTGGGGTTATAGTGAAGTTTATAATTATTTGGTTATGGTGATGTTATAAAAAGAAAAAAAATCTAAGAAATAGTATTTACTTTGTTTACAGTTTTCAGTTTACAGATACTTTGTAAGAAATCAAACTAATTTATTTTTTGTTTCTACATAATTTTGTTCAAATTCCTCTTTCTTTGTCAAACTAACAATAAAACCTACTTTAAAAAATAATTACTAGCTTTCTATTATATTTTTTCTTATTATTCAACCTCCTTTAGGTGTTAAACTCACTGTTTTCACCTTGTCGCACACCCTTGTCGAGTTTTAAATTTCAACAATGAAAACAACATTTTAAAAGATTATTTATCTGGTATCTGTTAATGTTTCTTTTTTTTGTAAACAATTGTTTTTATTATTTCAGTTTTTGTTTAATATAGAGAGCAGACAGCATTTGACCATATCATAAAACAACACGAATCCCGCCCCCCACCCAGGTAGACTTGTTATATATTGACAGAAGTTAAAAGCTTGCTGTGTTATAATAAAAATAAATAAGTTAATTAATAAAAAAATAAAGAATAATGTAAAGCCAAATACAGAGTAGAAGTTAAGTACAAATAAATAACTATTACATCATGAGTAATCATGAGCCTACATATAGACCATGAACAGAAAAGCTGTACATTAGAAGGAAGAAACAAAGGATTTTAGTATCTTTTAATGTGTCTTAATGAAGCATTAGTAAAATAATTTAAATATTTTAATAGTTATTAATGTGAGACTATTATCAATATTATTTTTTTATTCAAAATATTACAGTCGCACAGTATCAGTGTCATTTCCACCACAACACTGTAATGTCGCTTTTAAAAGTTTGTGTGAAAGATTATTTAACTGGTTTCTATGACAATGAATAATGGCATCTGAGACCATGTTCAAGATGGAGGGAATTGAAATTTTTATTAACAACACTTGAAGAAAAATCAAGGTAAGTATTGCTTGATAAGGAAATACATTTATTCCACGTCATTTCCGAACATCTACAGGTGAATCATGTAAAATCAGTCCACATCATCTTTTTTCTGCTTGCTGTTATAACACAATGCACCGTCTGCTTCCCCATCACTCCGCATTCACACAATCCAATAGTCAATAAATATGACAGAGAAGCTTTAAATGTCATCTGCTGTGTGTGTGGGTGTGCATCTTGTATTCCTCATGTTGTGGGGAAATTTGGTCTGCACAATGTGAGGAAGAGGTACAAACACACTGCGGTCAGTGAAGCGATACAAGTTAATTTTAACCTTGTGGGGACATTACTTTGGTTCATAAAAGTATTTTAAAAATGTGAAAAGGTTGTTTCCTGTGAGGGTTGAGTTTAGGGGTTGGAGTGGGAACAGATTATATAAAAATCCCTACTGTATATCTATGGCAGGGGTGTCCAAACTCGGTCCTGAAGGGCCGGTGTCCTGCATAGTTTAGCTCCACCTTCCTCCAACACAGCTGCCTGGAACTCTAGTATACCTAGAAAGAGTTTGATTAGCTAGTTCAGGTGTGTTTTTTTTTTTTTTTTTTTTAACGGTTTTACATAATGTATCAACAAAACACACAAAGAAGAAAAAAAAACAAATAAATAAATAAAAAAGAAAATAATAATAAAATAAATTGACCCCCCCCCCCAAAAAAATGATTATATTATATTATATTATATTTTATATATATATATATATATATATATAAAATATAATATAATATATATATATATATATATATATATATATATATATATATATATATATATATAAAATAAAATAAATAAAAAATTATAAAATAAAAATATAAAAAATATTAAAAAATTAATAATAAACAAAAAAATAATAATAATAAAGTTCAGGTGTGTTTAATTGGGGTTGGAACTAAAATATGCAGGACACTTGCCCTCCAGGACCGAGTTTGGACACCACTGTGGGAAGTCCATATAAAGATATATATATACCTGTCCAACTGATTGTTAACGCAAATATCTATTCAGCCACTTACATGGCAGCAACTCAATGCATTTAGGCATGTAGACATGGTCAAGACGAACTGCTGCAGTTCAAACCAAGCATCAGAATGGGGAAGAAAGGGGATTTAAGTGACTTCGAATGTGGCATGGTCGTTGGTGGCAGACGGCCTGGTCTGTGTATTTCAGAAACTGCTGATCTACTGGTATTTTTCACACAAAACCATATCTAGGGTTTACAAAGAATAGTCCGAAAAAGAGAAAATATCCAGTGAGCGGCAATTCTGTGGGCACAAATGCCTTGTTAATGCCATTTGGCCAGACTGGTTCCAGCTGATAGAAAACCAACAGTAAAAACCAACAGCAACTCAAATAACCACTCGATACAACCGAAGTATGCAGAAGAGCATCTCTGAATACACAACCAACCAACCTTGAGGCAGATGGGCTACAGCAGCAGAAGACCACCGGGTGCCACTCCTGCTGTCAGCTAAGAACAGGAAACTGAGGCTACAATTCGCACAGGCTCACCAAATTTGGACAATAGAAGATTGGAAAAATGTTGCCTGGTATACTTTCTGTATTACCTTCCCTTACAGAGTTATTAAACACATTTGTCTATTTAAAGGGATAGTTCACCCAAAAATGAAAATTTACCCACTAATATACTTATCCTCAATTGGTTTCAAACCTGTTTGAGTTTCTTTCTGTTGAACACAAAAGAAGATATTTTGAAAAATGTTAAAAACGGGTTAGCACTGACTTTCATACTGGGAAAAACAAATAGTGTGGAAGTCAACAGTTACAGGATTCCAATATTCAATTCAAAACCTCTTCTTTTGTGTATAACAGAAGAGAGAAAGCTAAACAGATTTGGAACAAATGAAGTGTGAATAAATTATGACAGAATTTTGAGTTTTAGGTGAACAATTCCTTTAACTTTGCATGCATCTATTTTTCTCATAAACAGAAATATTAATAATGCCAAATAGTATTTTGAGGTGGTGAAATATGCGTGTACTATTTGCCCAAGCAGAGACAGATTAGATAACATGCTGCACAGTAGACACAACAATCAATATATATTTTTTTGCATTTACTGTCCCATTGAATTTCCTAGTACTGGGTTGAGGATGGAAGGGCATCTGCTGTGTAAAACATAAGCTGGACAAGTTGGTGGTTCATTCTGCTGTAATGACCCCTGATAAATTTAGGCATAAGCCAAAGGAATATGAATGGAAGGATGACACATTGAAGCCACTGTTGAGCTTAACACTGCTCTCTGGCAGATGCAAGCATGTTTTTTGTGATCGACAGGTCATGTTATAACTTGAAGCTATTTGTAGGTACACAAATGAAAGCCAGTACATTCCTGGAGTACTTTAATTTCACATTCTTAAGAATTTTTGATTTGAGATTTCCTTTTTAATGATGACATTATTTTCATTTCAACTTCAAAAATTGAGTTTAGCAGTTACAATTTTAACTGTATGGTTTTAAATTTAGTTTTTGCGAAAAATAAAATATACAAAACTGATTTTTTATAAATGTAATGCTAGTAAAGTGGGCGACACGGTGGCTCAGTTGTTAGCACAGTCGCCTCACAGCATGAAGGTCACTTGTTTGAGTCCCATCTGGGTCAGTGTGCATTTCTGTGTGGAGTTTGCATGTTCTCCCATGTTGGAGTGGGTTTCCTCCGAGTGCTCTGGTTTCCCACACAGTCCAAAGACATGCAGTATAGGTGAATTGAATAAACTAAATTGACCGTACACTGCAAAAAAATGCTTTTCTTGCTTAGATTTTTTGTCTTGTTTCTAGTCCAAATATCTAAAATGTCTTATATCAAGAAGCATTTCCTAGGCAAGCAAAACATATTGTCTTGTTTTGAGAAATAATATACCAATATTAAGTGAGATTTTCCTTAAAACAAGCAAAATAATCTAAACATTTGTACTTAAAGGGTCCATATTGGTACCTAAAAACTATAAGAGGAACACTTGTATTTTTAGGTACTAATATGTACTCTTGAGGTGTTAATATGGACCTTAAAGGTACAAATATGTACCTTTTGAAAAGGGACTCCAGGGACAGCTCACGTATCTTTATTTCTGAGAGTGTAATGAATGAGTGTAAATGAGTGTGTATGGATGTTTCCCAGTAATGAGAATCCACTGCGTAAAATGGTGGTTCTTTCTGTTATGGTGACCCCTGACATATAAAGAAACTAAAGTAAAGGAAAATGCCAGTAAAATGTTTAATTTAATGTCTATTTATAATATAGGCTAAACATTATATTTAATTAGTCATTTGGGGCTGTACGGTTAATTAATATTTAGGTTAATATGCAATAAAAGTATTATTTTTAAAAATATGTTACACAGTCAACTCTGACTGACATTTTAATGGGTGTCTAACGCAGGATACATCATTGTACAATTGTATGATATTCAAAATAAATCAATGAATAAATGAATAAAAACAAACAAACAAATAAATTAACAAATAGCATGGTCGCCTCACAGCTACAGTCGCTGGTATGAGGTCCGGCTGGGTCAGTTGGCATTTCCCCCACAGTCCAAAGACATGATATAGGTGAATTTAATAAACTAAATTGGCCAACTAAAATGGGGATAGTGTATGTGTGTGAATGCAAAGCATTTTGAACAATTACTAAACTTATGTCAGAATCAGAAAGAGCTTTATTGTCAGGTATGTTCACACATACAAGGAATTTGTTTTCGTAGAGCTTCTACAGTGCAACAGAATGACAGAGACAGGACAAAAAACATTTTTAAATGTTTTTTTAAAAACATTTTTAACAATAATAAAAAAAACTTAAAAATTGAGTTTTTA